TTGGTGTAGTTGTGCTGATGTCACTCATCATGGTGTTGCACTACCAAGTACATTTTTTATCTGATTCTTATGATTACAAGTTATTTTTCATATCATGTGTTACTTCAATCCTTCCTCTGAATTATATCTTGGTTTTCCCAGGCACCAACAGTATCGTCCGGTTCAATTTCACAGGCTCTGATTTATCACCAAGTCAGGAAATACCTCTTACTACTCGATGTCCGAAAAGAACATGTCAAGTGTGTAGCCGATAGTTCCAAACCTGAGGTGAAATTCCAAAGACGATCCGTGATTACAGATATTGGCGTCCGCAGATCTTACTTTTGGTATCAAGGCCATCTTCTTCTTGTCCACTTATGGATTTTGTCAATGATCTAAAAAAGTCTGGACTTTATGTTGTTGGACATGTGAGGAAAGGCGAATTGGATTCAAGTCAGGCTGTCGACCCACTGCAACAGGTTTACTCGTTTGTGTAACCTTTCACAGTTTTGTAATGAACTCCCTTATCAACACCTCCACACTTCAGGTGTTTCCTTATTGGTTGTCTCTCGTGGATTACTTGAAGCTGAAAGCTTTTGTCGAACTAACGCTTCTCAAATAGCATTCGGGAAGGTATTCAGCAGGTTGGCATCTTTTGCTGCTCCGTTTGAGTAGTAGCATGAAGTGAGAAATGCCTTTAAAGCTCATGCGTCTATCTGGACTGGGCGCTATGAAGCCAAACACAGTGGTACTAGGATTCCATGAAGCTACACCCATCGACATTACGTTACAGGTATATACTTTTCTATTTATTCTCTTGATCATTGAATGAAGTGTATTCCTTTTCCACTAAGCATTGGTGACAAAATATTAGGTCATCCCATTCAAAGTGCCGAGACATATAGAGGAATGGCAGAAAAGCAAAGGGGATAGGGCAGCGGGCTACTATACCATTTGGAGGCTAGTACCTTTAGCTATGTATCTGTGAAATTTGGCGAACCTACCCACAGAGAAGTTCTCGAGAAATTGAAGAAGCCTGAGTGGTGAAAATCAGCGCCGGATTTTCAAATCAGGCGTCATAAGAGGGAAGTGCGCT